TTATTTATAAAGTCTGTCAGTCCACATGAGTCATTACAGGAAATATCTACCAGCCTGCAGTTTGGATGGAGTTATTTTCGGAGGAAGAGCATGAATTTATCCCCTGACATGCTGCAGCAGCACTACCTGCCTTGTTTATACACCCCTAATGCTCTTAGTGTGTTTAAAGGGCTGAGATTGAGCTCTGCAGCTTTAAAAATAACTGCTTTCTACAGAATATCAAACTGTGTCTGTCATGAGCACTGTCATCATCCTTTCATATCCCATTTCATCATCCTTTCATATCCCGCTTCATCTCATGAACACTCTATGAAATAAGTACAAGAAACGTTTAATTCTCCATCACTAATAGGAGTAAATAATGCTCTTGGAAGAGTTAATTATTAAGACACTGTGAAATTAAAATAACAAGCTGATAACAGTGGAAAATTGGCTTTCCATTGCCCTGGATATGGCAAGGGAGCTCAGTTTCTACACCCAGAGCTCCAACACTGACACAGGAAATCAGCACAGCACCTGAATACTCAATTTGTCCTAGAGATTGCTACAAACAGGCTGGAGGGTTTTTTCACTTCGAGAGCAAAAAGAAAGGGGGAGGAAAATCAAATGTTGGTCTGAATGTATGAAGTCCAAAAGGCAGCAGCTGCAAGTGCACCCCATTTCTGTAGTTAAGCAATCTCCAAGGATTATCAAACAGATTTGTGCTCCAGCCTTACAGGGGCAGGCTGTGAAACTTTTGGAGTGCACAAAAGCCCAGAAGATGCAGGAAGGCCTAGGCTGAAGCAGATTTAGATGGAAGCAAAAGCACTGGTTCCATGAGACACAAAGCCTCCCAGAGGAGGATTTCACCCATCTGAGACCACGTGGGAGGTCTGCTATAGCCTGCTGCTCTTCTCTCTGTGCTTCCATCAGCTCCAGAGACTCTGTTTGTCTTCCCTATCAACACTGGGTTTGATGTCCTGGCACAGCCAGCAGTTTCTAGGAATGGGTTCCTTCCCAAGACATCTCTGACTCCCAAAAACCCACATTCCCATGGGAAGTCACAGTTAAACTCTTCATTCCTCTGGAGAAGCTACCAAGAGTGTAGCAGGAGACAAAGCCTCCTTTAGAAACAAAAGGCAAATCCCCACGACTGAAGACAAAAATAAAACAAAACTGAAGAGGAGAGGGAAAATACCAATACAGGGGCTGGGGAAGTGTAGGCTGGTTCTCAGCACCGTTCCTAAAAAGCTGCTGCTTCCTTTTCCCTGCCTCCAGAAACAGGAGCCCTCAGTTCTTTGTGCTCCCTCAGGTTCTCAAGGTGTGGTGCAGAGGTGCAGCCTGAGAATTAATGAGCATGAGGACAGTCAGGATGTTACAGCACCCAAATCACGAGCGACAGAGGAGTTAACCCAAGGATTTAGACCTTCCCTTTTCCCCCTGCCTCCCTGCTTTACTTCTCCCATGCTTTATAGCAACAGCAACAGCCACGAAAGGAGGAGCCCTTACACCTATTAATACAGTCTCTAAAAAACTCGAGGTCTGTTTGTCACGGTGTGACTGTTCCTCACATGAGAGCCCAAAGCGCTGTCACCTGATTGATGCACAGCCCTGCTAATGCAGACATCAAAGCTGCCACGCTGCAGCTGACAGGTTCAGACAGAGCAGGAGCACAGGAGGAAACGTTTGGTTTCAGCGGTGGGATCTCCCATTTATCCTCATTAGTGCGAGGCAGCCCCCACGCACAGCTCCAGCCTGTCAGCACGGCGCAGATCGAAGATGGGCCTCCCTGACAGACACCTCGCCAGCTCGGCACCTTTGGAAGCGCTTACAGGGAATTTTGGAAACGGTATGGCCAAAGGCAGGATGCAAACTGCAAAACTACAACTTGGAAAGTGTTTAGGGTTTGGGGTTTTCCCCTTAAAACAAACAAACAAACAAACAAACACACACCAAAAAACCACACAAACCCCTGGAGGTGGTGGACTCCTTTTAGAGGCAGAATATGATTAACCAGAGAGAACCTTTTTTGGCTCTACAAACCCTTCAGTTTTAAGACAAACAATCTGTTGAGCCAGTCTTGGAGCAGCAAACTTTCTCACAGCACAGGGGATATTTCTGACATGTTTATTTTACCCTTTTCCCTCCCACCCTCCTCAGCCTGGGAGAACTGAAGGTTCCTGCTGAAGGTGCTCACAGCATGAATGTGTAATGCTTCCCCTGCCATCACAGATACATTCATTTCCACTCTCAAAGCACAGCTGTAACTTATTTTGTGTGGGTGTTGCTCACCTCTCTTTACCCAGTTCAGTAAATATGCCAAAGTTGGGGGGTTTCTTAGCAGACACGAGGGGACTGAGGGTTGTTCCCCCCCTTGACACACGGCAGAGCCTGAAGGAGCTCTACTGAAGAGGATGAGGTCAACACTCATCATCATTTTAAGATTCCCTGAGCTCAGTAAACGGATTTTAACATTCATGGTGAAGAGGCAGAACACTCGAGGATCATCACTTCAGGGTCTCACCAGGACCAGCAGAGCCCTCGTGCCTACTGAGAAGATCAGAACCGACAGCGCTGCTGTTTTCCTGGGAGCCCAGCAATTAACAGGGAGCAGGATGGATGCTCCCAAATCCATCCCACTGGAATCACTGTGGAAAATCAGTCCAAGGAAACAGCCCCAAAGCACAGCTCAGGCTAAACACTGCATCACCAGTTATAAACAAGCACAAGAGTGTTGGCCACCAAATCATCTCCATGGCTAATTTTTCTGTCCTAATCATGACCCAAAGGACAAGAAAGGAAAGAGCTAATAGGAGGAAAACAGCCTTTATTTGATTTTTTTTGAGAAATACCTCTCGGTAATGCCCCAAAATGGGTTTGTCCAGTCGAGTTGGTAAAGAGGAGAGTTTATATTTGGGTGTAGTGTGTTAATAAGTGAGGTGACACAGAATGATAGGGCAGAATGAGCTCCTGAGCCCCTTCCCAGAACCACAACCCAGCCCATTCGATAAAGTCCTCTCATTTCCATGACTTCACCACCACTCATTGCATTATGTCTAAACATAGACCATCAACTCTTCATAATTCTGTTTGCAAAGCATTATGCATATTTAGGGAGCTATCTAAATACCCTTAAATTAAGTTACAAGGCCAAGCAAAGACTGAGGGAGAGCCAAGTCGTGCCCTCACACACAGGGCTGCCAGAGCAACGTGGACAAGCTCCAGTGCCCAGCAGACACACAAGTTCTGGCACACATTTGTTGTACCTTCATCATCAGATGGCCATCTGATAAATAATCACAATAAATGTCATCAAATCTGATCCATAATGGAGTTATCTGAGTACCAAGCCCTGTTCCATACCCCAAACCATGGTGGGCACAGCTCTGCCCACAAATCCCCCCCAGAAATCCTCCCCTCCAAGGAAAGGGAGGAGGCTGAGCAGGGGAGAAGCACACCCTGATTTTGACAGGCCCTGTTGTTACAGGTTTGTTTTTTTCCAAGGGACAACACTGAACATAACATCCAAAACCAGCTGCTTTGCATAAACACAAACACCCTGAGCAACCTTCTGGCATGAGGGGGCTTTGGGAAGCAAGCACAGAGCTGGGCAGGGAGAAACCTCCCCATTTTCACTGGGAAAAAAATACCGTTCTAAGGCAGTTGTTTTATTATCCACAGGGTGGACTCTGCACCTCCAAAGAGTCTCTGTACTCAAACAAAGGATTGGAAAGTTTAAATCTCCCTGTGTAACGCTGGGAAAAGAAACATTTTGGTTCCCCCCCCACACACACAAACAATTCACAGGAACAGCACCTGAATGTGCAAAAATTCAAACTAAGAAAAACCAAAGGAATTAAACCTGTGCCTTGAGAAAGGACTTAACCTTAAAAGGACAGAAGATTAAAGTTGTTTTGGGAAACTAGTGAAGAGCATTTGCAGCTATACAGGCTGGAGAATTTGGCAGGAAACCTTGTTTAAAGGACGGCTTGCTGCCTCGGAACTAGCTCTGTTTCAAAGAACAACTGCAGGAATTATTATACATATGGGCAAGCAAGAATCCTCCACCCCCCTCAGGTGTTACCTGGCCAAAATGGTTCTGAGCCTACCAGACACTCTGGAGAGGAGTAAGAAGCATTTGATAAGCATCTAGCCATTTGTGTGCTACCAAATCCCACCAGGAATTCGCTTGTTGTGTTCTCTGCATGAAACCGGGGACATTTCCCTCAGAATTCCCTCCGAGAAGAGGGATGCAGGATGCTCCCAGCTTAGCAACTCTCACAGCAGACATGCCCTTCCTGACAAATGAAAAACCCAAACACAGACCAAATCTGCTCAGTGTGCCATGTGAAGAGCCAGGAAACTTGGGCAGAAGATACAAAAGCAAAGAGCTGGCATTTTGGAGAAGAGTAGCACTGGCATCACTGAACCCCCGAAAAGGTTCTCAGAAAGCTCAATAACCACTGCTCTGGTGTCCCACCCAGCAAACAAACCCCTGCCACAGCACACCCTGGGACACATCAGACGTGCTGAACTGCAGCTGCTACACTTGTTCTGTGCCCAGGCTGGAAGAATACCATTTCCCATTATCCCAAGCACGGCACTGCCCAGAGCCCCCCGTGCCCTGCCAGGCCCCTGGAAGGAGGGGCTGGGACCCTCCTCTCCCTGCCTTAGCAGGCATTTCCCACTGCCACAACACCAACCCTTCTGCTGAGTCCCCACTTCATCCAGCAAACCCCGGGCATTGTCTCAGAGCCAAGGGACTATATTTAGTGGAGGTTTATTCAAGGGATCTCAGTGCAAGGTTAACAGCTTTCACCTCCTCTCTTTATATAGGGAGGGGCACAAGCCCAGTCAGAATTTTCCAGGCAGGAGTAATCCACACAATTTCTCAACCACCATATTTAGACAACGTCTTCAACCTTTTTCTTTGAAATCATTTTTCCCATGAGACAAAGTTTTTATCTCTGCATGTGTTGAAATAAAGGCAATTAATATGTTTAGGTTTTTTCCAGCCCTACCTTCCATGACGTACACCAGGGAACCCACGTCTCCCTCCTTGATGATGCAGCTGTCTTTGCCATACTCCACAGGATACATACAATCCACAATCTCCTGGATCTGGGACAGTTCCAGATTCTTCATGAAGTCATTGTCAAGGATTGCTTCCTTTATCAGCTCCTTGGACCTGTGGCACAAAGAGAAAAACCAGATTTACCCAGGTGTCCACCAGCCCAGCTCATCTACAGTGAAATTCAGCACAATCAGTGACCCAGCGAGTATTGCCTTGGGGGGAAAAAACTCAGTACTTCCCCTAAAAATGTGCAGAGAAGTTAAAAAAATATTACAGAAACATTAAGTTGTAATTATTTGTCATAATTAAATTTCAGATGCATTAAGCATTGAAATAAGAACAGATTCCATGGGGTTGCCAGATCCTCTTTTAGCTACAGTTTCATGTCTGTGCAACCCCAAAGAATAACGTGGCTACTTGGGACATCTTGCACATACAGAACTGAAAGGAAACACAAACAAGAAGTGAAGGGATTTATGACTCAGTTTATTACATTTTCTGTTCATTATACAAACTGGAGCACAGCACAGTGTGATGCTGCACTGGTTCTGAGGGTGTCCTAACCACTGGAGGAGGCACCACTGGCACAGGAATAACACCTTTCATTCCTTTCTTTGCTGACTACAAGGACAATTCCAAAGTCCTGCCAGGGTGCCCAGAACTGTCCATGCAGTTCTGCTTTGGCACAGGATGGGGCTGGGAGGTTGGAGTCCCCGCCTGGCCAAGCTGAGTAAGGAAGGAGCTGTTCCTGAAGGCACAGACACCACAGCTCCACCTGCCCCTGCCCTCTGGGAGCCCCCCTGGAACGGGCACACGTGGCACACCCCGCTCACTCCACAAGTGCCTGTGCCCACGCCCTCTGAGGAGGGATAACATGCCACAGACCCACTCAGGTGTTCTCCCTGATTCTCCCCAGACTCTGCTCGTTCTGCAGTTGAAGTGCTACTACACAGTGAGTCACTCCAGTGAACCCTCCCATCCTCCCTTGGCACCGCCAAGCTCCACACCCCCCAGCGCCCATGCAAATGAGCAGCTGAGGATGGGAAATCCCGGTGTGGACCGAAAGCAAAGCCCCCAGAACACCCACAGCCCGTCACCCGTCACCCTGCAGCTCCCCCTCTGTGGCTGAGCCATCTGCTGGGGTGCCACGGCACACAGCAGCTCCCTGCAGAGCTGGGGCACGCAGCAGGGCTTGATCTGCTGGGGAGATGGGCATCAGCAAGGCTTCCAAAGCAAGGCACACTCACGGAGTGTGGCACCTCAGGAGACCAAAGCCAGCCAGCCCTGCGGATGTCCTTGTGCAGGACACCCCAGGGTTACCTGCAGCTCAATAATGGCTGAGATGCTTTGGATAGTTTTGAGGTTCTTCCAGCAGAACCTTCTGCTCACCATCAGAGTCCCTCAGGACTGACCAGATGAGGAAAGGGACCAGAATTCCCAACCTGGGCACGGGCTGCTACAGAACCACTGTGCTCCTGAGAGCCTGAGTTTGAATTTACACACCAGCACTCCAGTTCCTCCTGTGTGCAAACCAAACCCTTCACCTGTGCTGTTTCTTCCTTTCAGTACAGCCACAAGCTGGCAATTTGCAAGGCTGCCCAGATCACCCCATTTCCTACTCCCTCCTCCCGTGGAAGAGCTTCCCATGCCGTGCCTTGGCTTAGCACTGCTCTTTCTTTAATTTCAACTGCCACATAACCCCACAGCCCCCCAAATCCTAACAAAGACACTAATTATTAACGTTACTCGACTGCCTGCCCAAGAAGCAAAGCATAATAAAGGCCTTGGCATCACTCATATCAACTTGCATTACGATTTCAGGCATTTATTTCATTCCAAGGCTCAAAATAAGGTTTTTTTCTGTGGTACAAGAAGCCAGCCTTCCACATGGAGGGGCTGCAACAACAGCCACAAAGGGTGGAGGGAATTCCTGGTTCAAGTCAGACCTCCCCTGATGTCCTCAGCACAAAACAACGCTCTCCTTGTGGGAATCAGACCCGGCACAGCACTGGAGGAGGAGCTGGGAGATTTGGTCTGAACGACAGCAGAGGAGCAGGAAAACCTACGGGAAGCCACTTGGACTCGATGATCCTAAAGGTCTTTTCCAAGCTTTCTGATTGTGTTTTGGGGAGAGGCAGCAAGCCCTGTTCCCAGTGGGAACAAAGTGGGGGAATTCCTGCTGTTGTTACAGTGTGAGAGCCCCCAGCACAGACACAGCAGGGAACCTCAGGGGGCCACGAGCCATTCAAAGCCTCTCAACCACAGCACAAAATGCATCCACCAAGAAGAAAAGCACCCCAGCCCGGACAGCAGTGACACAGTTTCATCTCTGCCACATCTGAGCACCTTACAATTAGACACTAACACAGAATGTCTGGAGAAGAACTCAGTTGTGCCTGGGTGTTATTAGTGAAGGATTATTAGTTAAGGTGAGACTCTGACTGCAAAGAGCATGAGGGAAAAGCACCCCCAGCTGCCCTTAAACAGTGCTGGATGGAGGAGCAACCACCTTGAGACCCAGCTGCTTATTTATGGGACTATTTCATGGAATCACAGAATGGTTTGGGTTGGAAGGGGCCTTAAAGGTCATCTCATTCCACAGACTAAAGCAGGCTCAGTCGCTTGGGAGCTCCAGCAGGAAATATTCCATCCATCCTTTCAAATGAAAGAAGGGAAAAGCTTAGTCTGACATGTTTGAAAATGAGGCGATACTAAAAATACATTGTCATAGCTACTACAAGAGTTCCTCTATTGTTCCCTGCGAGAGAATATTCATCACTCTAATAATTCAGAAAAATTATTCATGCAGTGTCATTAGCAGGCCCACACACTGGCCCATGCCAGGCCTTCAGCAGCTTCCACGTTGTTTTATTACGTGGTTTCCTTCCAGTGCAGCTCACGGGTGCCATTTCACATAAATGCCAGAGAAAAAAAAACCTATTTATTTTTATACTGAATCCCTGAAGCTGGAAAAGCCCCCCCAGCCCATGGATCCCCTGTGCCCGATGCCCACCAGCTCTGCCAGGGCTCTCCTATTGAGAGCCCAGAACTGGGCACAGATTAAAGATATGAAACTCAGAGCATAGAAATAAACCCTTAGTTCACAATTATTCCACAACAAATGCTTTTCCAGACCGCAACATTCCTTAATCACCATCATTATTTCAAACCAGCATCTATCCCCAACTTGTGAATACAAAAAACCTACCTAGTAATACAACACAAAAGGTATTTAAAATGGTCAAACCCCACTCCTGCCACGGCAACTAAGTGGTTTAAACACAGTACAGCTGCTTTTTTAAGTACCTCTTATTTTCAAATAGTGTTTATTCTGCATTTCCTGAAAGAAACAAAACACAAACAAAATCAAGCACAATATTTGTAAAGGACCGGGATTGTTTCCAAACAAGCCAGTTCCAAGGAGGAAGCAATTCCATGAATATTTCCTTAGTGCTGGAGCAAAGGTCTCCTAATGCAGAGGGTCACTCGGGGTAGGAAGCAGTTATTGCCATCCTTCCTCTGCAGAGGAGGGAGCCTGGCACTGAGCCATCCCCGTTTTCCTGAAAGATTTACGATCCAGAGCGATGGGAGGTTTGATGAAGAGCTTAAAAAAAGGACACAATCCTCTGCCACACATCCTGTCCCAAATCAGTTTAAGTCCATCATGGTAATTAATAAGGCAACAGTAGGAAGAAGGTAATTGCATTCCAGTTCTGCACAAGCCATGCAAAAAGAACTGTAACAGGTTTGCTAAAAATACACTTGACACGTCAAAACCCGGCCCCTCAGCAGGGAAGAGCACAGTGGCGTGTCCATCCCACACCTCCCAGTCCCGTGCTGGGGTTTGTAGGTGTGAAAAAGGGCCCTGAGATGCTTCTCCACAGCGTGGGGGAGCTGAGGGGGGACTCTGCCCACCTGCAGGGCTGCCTCCGGCCCTGGGGAACAACATCCCATCCTGTGATGCTTTGCAGTGCTTGGCAAGAGGCAAAGTGGTTTGCAGTGCACGCAGTAACATCCCAAAGCCTGCAGTTATCCTGACAATAATTCACAGTTTACAGAGAACAGAATAAAGAGCCATCTCAGGCTCTTCACCCACAGCAAAAAGAAAACCCACCCACATTCCCTAAGCCAGATTTGTACCTTTCAGCAATAAATTTATTGTACCTTCATACAACAAATGTCAGAACAAGAAGTTAATCTTCGTCCCGAAAGGTCTTATTTGAACACTGGAAAAGCCACTTGCTGAGCTGAAGAAGGGAAGGATTTAAGAGCAGATGGAAAGATCATGCCATGCCCATCTAGGGACGCTTCCAGCACAGCCTGTGCTGGTGCAGCACCAGTGGAGCCTCCAGGACCCTGAGGTTCAAGGGGAGCTACACAGGGATTATCCTCCAGGCAATCTGCTGCTGCCAGGAGCTCATTAAATAGAGGTGGATCAAGAATAGGAAAAGCAATGAGGAGTTCCATTGAGACAGCAGCAGTGCAATTGTGAATTTTGCTGTGTTCACCCCCCCAGCTGCACACCCAAACCACTCCACACTGCCAGCAAGGGAAGTGGAAAGCAAAGTACTGGGCAGGCAGGCTGGAAGATGCCTAAAAAAAGGGAGGCAAAAAAGACAGTTTGGAATAACAGCCAAGAAGAGGGAAAGAAAAAAAAAAAAAGGCAAATTTTTCTTCAGCTGTTTCTCTCTCCAAGGTTTCAGTTAAGACCTTTCAGTAATGCCAATACTAATGAGGGGAAAGGAGTATTTTTTCTAGAGCCTCCCCATCAGGAACCTGCCAACTACTGCTGATGAACTCAAACCCACATTTATGAGGGAAACACCTACAGCAATTTGACCAAGCAGTGACAGAGCTCACTCACATCCAGGGCACCTTTTTTGGCACCAGCATCAACACTGCTGTAAAAATGCAAATTAAATACACAGGTACACCCTTCACATCTACCCACCACCTGAACCTGCCGAGTGTGCTTGTACAAACTCACGCCCAAAGCCTTTTTGGGGAGCTTCCACATCCATCCACAAAGAACTGAGCTGATTTCTGCAGATAAGAAGCATGGAAAAATAAAAAAAACAATTGCAGCCTCTGCCCCAGAACATGACGAGAGACAC